AATGCACCCACCCCACCAAAACCGGCAACGAGCTGATGGAGATTTTAGATGAAATGGACCAAACGAGGAAAAAAGAAATGCAGCTTTATAACAGCATCTTCAGCCTGCTCAGCTTCGAGAAGATCGGCTACACAGGTAATGGCTCGCTCGGGACGGCACCGGCGGCTTTCCCGACCTTTCTGCTGCGTCTCCTCTGGTGCCGGCACTGTTTCCGCGCTGCCGAAACCTGGTTTTATCTCGCGCGGCGATCGCTTGCGGTAGCGGCGAAGGGCTTCGCCGAATACGTGGCGGCGTTTTGGCTCGAGCCTCCATCCTCGACCGCGAGCTGAGCGATGAGAGGTTAAAACCAAACCCATACGTGACGTGCCCTGGGGTGTTTTATGGAGTTCCAGAGAAGCACCGGCAAAGCGTTGCCGCCACCTCGCCGTCGCCTTCCCGCTGCTCTTGCTTTGCCGAGGGGTTTTACCAAGCCCCTCTCCCACCTGCCAAAAAGCTGCCGGTGCCGTAGCGGTCGTGTTCGCACCAGGGCAGAGCAGGACTTGGCCGATAACGGGTGTGAAAAGCCCCGTTTAGGCTGCGAAAGGAGGTAAGCCGGATCTTTTCTTGCTACGCCGATACTTAAACCGGGCCTAGAGCCGCTGCCGAAGACCGGTTTTGGCTTTAAACACCGGGAGACAAATTAACTCCAGAGAGAACCGGCAAATTGGGGCTGGATGGGGGAAGGATTTTCCCCTCGGCCGCGGGCAGAGGCACCGGTGCTGTGCCCTCCCGGTGGCAGGTGTACGTCTCGCTCCGGCATCGCTGGCACGAATGCGATTGGGGAATCCGGTGAGAGCCGCCCAGGCTTTTTGGCAGCCGGGTTGTGCCAGGAGCTTGGGCTGCGGCAGCCCGGCCACGCTCCAGACCTCGCGTCCCCAGCACCGGGGAACTCCCCGAGGAAAATGCCGGGGCTAAGCCCTGGTAAAGCCAGGCAGTTCGGTGCCGAGAAGCTGCAGTGCTGGGCCGTGGCGGTACTGGCAAAGCCCGGCGATGGGAACGTGGTGTGGCTGGAATAACTGATCCCCCTCCTCTGTCCAGGTTTTGCAGGCCGGGCTCTCTCCCTCTCTGTCTCTCTCCTGGAAGCGCCGATGACGGTGTAAGCGCGGGCAAAGGGCACCGCACCGTCCCGTGCGCTTGTGGTTGCGCTTGGTGTGCCCATGGTCCCTACACCAAGACCGCAAGCACCCGGCTGCTTCCTAAACCTCCCGGCGCCTTTGCCAGCGCCGAGCTGGGAGCATCTCGGTGCTGCGTACCTGCGCCGGGAGCCTCCGGGCTGTGTCACCGGTGTTTGTACCCTGCGGTGATGCTTCACCACGCTGCCTCGCTTGCCGGTTTGTACGGCTGATGCCAATAAATTCTACCTTACTACCCAAACTGTATCCTGCCTGTCTGTCCTGCTGCACCGTCGGACGCTGGTAAAGCCTTGCGGCACCCGGCGTCGCTTGCCGGCACGTTGTCGGATGCTGGTAAAACCTTTTGGCAACTGATGACGGTTGCTGGCATGTTGTAGGATGCTGGTAAAGCCTCTGGGCAGCCGGTGACAATTGTCAGCCAGCCGTCAGATGCTGGTAAAGCCTTTTGGCAGTCGGTGGCAATTGCCGGCATGCCGTTGGACACTGGTAAAGCCTTCTGGCAGCTGATGGTGGCTGCCAGCACGCTGTAGGATGCTGGTAAAGCCTTTTGGCAGCCGGTGGCAATTGCCGGCATGCTGTAGGATGCTGGTGAAGCCTTTTGGCAGTCAGCGGTGATTGCTGGCACGCTGTCGGACACTGGTAAAGCTTTCTGGTGGCTGATGGTGGTTGCCAGCACACTGTTGGATGCTGGTAAAGCCTCTGGGGAGCTGGTGGTGGTTGCTGGCGTGTTGTAGGATGGTGATAAAGCCTTTTGGCAGCTGGTGGTGATTGCTGGCACACTGTAGGATGCTGGTAAAGCCTTTTGGCAGCCAATGGCTGTTGCCGGCATGTTGCAGGATGCTGGTAAAGCCATTTGGCAACCGGTGGCCAGGAACCACCCCTCTCGGCGCGATCTCCCATCGCCAAATGGCCGTAGGCAGTTCGCGTCCCTCGGCCTGGCTGCGCCGGGTTCAATCAAGGAAGCTTCGGTTCAGTCTGGGTGGCGAAAGTGAAGGCGCAACCCGGTTTGAGCAGAACCGGCGGTGACAACCGGGACGGTGGGGCGGCTCCGGCCTGACCCCGCCATCCCCATTTCTTTGATTCTTTTGTTTGTTTGTGTTTGTGTGTGTCTTTCGTTTGTGTTTTTTTTCCCAGAGGTGCAATTCCGCCCGTACCGCACCGACGACTTCATCACCCGCCTCTACTACGAAACGCCGCGCCTCACCGTCCTTAACCAAACGTGGGTGCTGAAGGCGCGGGTGAACGATTCGGAACGGAACCCCAACCTTTCCTGCAAGCGCACCCTCTCCTTCCAGCTCATCCTCAAAAGTAAAATCAACTCCCCGATGGAATGCTCCTTCCTCCTCCTCGAGGGCCCCTACGACGACGTCAAGATCCGCCCCGTCATCTACCATTTCGTCTTCAGCAACGAAAAAGCGCCGAAACGGATTATATGGCGCTGCCCATCGTCGATTCGGTGGAGTGTAACAAACTGCTGGCGGCCAAAAACATCAACCTGCGGCTTTTTATATTTCAAATCCAAAAATAAGACTCAAAAAAACAAAACAAAACAAAAAAACAAC